AACGTGCTTTAACCACTAGGTGGTGCACAAAAGGTACACACAGCCATAATAACTTTTTATTATTTGTGTATGTATAACATCTGAAGATGTGTAGTTTTATTCATGTTTTCACATAATTTTACAGGATATTGCTATACTATTTCTCATGTTTTACTTCTACACATTAATATCTGATTTGTAAAACATCACAGACAGAAAGGTATATCCATCATTTAATGGTAAGCTATTGAAATTCTGAATCCATAGATGTGTCTCCCATCACCCAAAACCCCTGACTATTCTTTCAACTCAGTATTTACATTCTTATATTCAAAGAAAATCAGTAATATCTTTAAAAACTACAAGTCCTTTTCTATCAGCTGTGCACCGTTATGGTGTAAATATAACCTATCTACCAATTGGATCAAATATAAAAGTCAGCCAGATTAGTATTGATACTGCAAGGAGACGTATTTTGTGAACAGAAATGTAAGATATTGTTTAATTGCTGATATATTTATGATCCACGTCACGTATTCAGTTTCGGCGGCACTTCTTCCTGTTTGTCCAGAAGTCTTCTCATCAGGGCTCTATAAATAAATAACTACGGCAGATATGTAATATTTAATGCAGCTGAACTGTGTATTACAATGCCGTTATGTGATGACTTCCAAAGAGAAAAGCAAGAACACTCGGAATAAAGTATTATTATTTTTTTTTTTTAAATGTTTTTCGGATTTCATATCGCATAAACACCATCTCCCAACGTGCATTGTGGCTAAACAATCCAATCACCGAGCTTAAACCATAGCTGAGGATCTTGGGTAATCAGTTCAGTGGGTGTGTATCTGATTCCGGTTATTTTATTTTGAAATTCAGTTCCTGACGGACGCCAAAAAAGCCAGAGATTATGGAATTAAACAAATAAATAAAAACAAGGATAATTGTGTGTTATTGTTGAGTAAATAACAGTGTGTTATTTAGAAAAGAATAACAAATTAGAAGGAAAAAAGATTTAAAAAAATACAGATTTCAGTATTCTGAGGCTCTGAGCCCCATTTCTTTTCCTCACTGACGGCAAAAAAAGTCAGACATTATACGATTTAAAAATAAAAACAATAATCGTGGCTTGATATTGAGTAAGAACCATCGACTGTATATATAAATAACATGTTTTTATGAACCACACAGCTTCCGGTCTTCCAAGACCCGACCGGACAAAAAGACGTGGTGCAGGCACGAAACACACTACCAATAGAAATACATTGCTTTTAAAATCGTTCTGTGTGACACGAAAAAAAGGGGAAAATCGTGTTGGTGAACACGAATCAATAGATTCAATGTCGTGACTATAACACGAAATGCCGTGAGACTGGGTTGGCTATAAACTAGGACAGGCTAAACCTCATTCCTCCAACTTAATGTCTTACTAACAGACATGAGGTTAGATGAATCCATTCACCTCTCCCTTATAATAGTGAGTGAATGAGATCCTTTGATCCAGCTTCCCCCTGGTATCTCCTCTCCTTCTCCCTGGGAAGCTATTGGAAGCTGAATTGTCCTAGGACATATTTTGAACAATAATCACTGGCTGTCCTTCAAAGCCTGATGCAAATCAATCAGCTGTTCATAAAATAGCTGTTTAAGCTTTGTAGCTAACGTATAGATCTACTTACATAATACATAATGGTACATGCGTGATAACATATTGGAGCTCAAATAAATGATTAATGTTTTTATTGACTTATATAACATAGATTTGCGTATGTTGAGTACTGTACTGTAGTTTATTTGACATGGTTATGTAAGTTTCATAATAAACAGCCACCAAAGTCCCGTGCTGAGAGAGAGCTTTTATCAGATCTTTTATCTCCGACTGCTGCAGAAGCACTTTTGCCTCATAAACATGTATCTAGGCTGAAGCTGCTCCCTGCTCATCTATCACTTTTTGAAGTTTGAAAGATAATCATCAAGTCATAAACTACTGAGTACTGAGCGAGCACTGTGCAACACATATTTGAGTCCATCAGAGTCTGTAGTGTTTTCCTGCACGCTGGTGATGACCTGATAACAGATCACTTTGATCGGGAAGCATTAGAACTGCAATCAGCTGTGCTAAGGTCTCCAGAGTATGATGCAACACTAATGATACCACTGTTGACAGTTCTGCTGTTTAAGTGGCCGTGTCAGACCTGACCTTTACCTCAGCTACCTCTATTAAGCTTACCATTGATACAAAGATGCTAAATTGGCTGTAAATAGAAAGGATGTATGTTTCCATCATGTCTTTTCAGACGTGTGAGACCAGGCATGTGAAACTAGATAGAACATTCGGAACTTTTGACCTATGCGCACTATGCATTCTAGATCGGGCAATAAAAGCGTAAAAGTTCCAGCCACAATTCTGAGAAGGCGCTTGTGGTTTTTGACACCTTGAGAGCGGTTACAGCGGGTATGAAGACAATGAGGCACAGGATGCAGGCGGCCTACGCAAAGGACTTGAACCAACTTCCTGGGCCAGCGAATCGTAGAGACAAGCTGTCCTTATTGTCTCTGTTAATAAATGAAGTCTCTGTTCATAAATTAAAGTATAAAGTTTGCATATTTGAAATTAAATGTTTAAAGAAAAAACTTGATTCTAAACATGACATTGACAATGTGTTCTGCTTTCATGAAAAATGTTCATATTCCCTCTTGTTAAAATTGCATATTATTACTATAGTTTTAATTTTAACTTAACATAATATGACATATGCTCTGCTGATGTGGCGATATCACTGCTGTGATATTCATATTTAACTCTGGCTGGTAGTGTCACTGCTGTGACATTAATGTTTGACTCTGGCTGTGTTTGATATTACATTTGCATTGTTTTGATTGGTATAACTGGGGATCAAAAATGGGGGTTAGGGATTGTGGGTCCTGAAGCTGCCCTAATTACCAAGGGGTCTCCCAACGACACAGGCAGTTTTGATACTAGTCTGGGGTTCTACCAGCCCACCAACACCTACTACACTATACACTCCGTTTTGCTATCCTAGCGGTCGGACATCCGAGGCTGGAGTGCCTAAAATAGGGATACGACGGGCAGCGTGGAGTTAGAGGCCACGCTGTAAACGCCGCCCTAAGCAGATTACGTTGATCTTGCGTGTAGATTCTGGGGGGTTTAGTCCTAAAAAGATTGGACGGCCGTTCACCGGAGCCTTATCAGCACCGGAGTTCGGTATCGGAGACGGCCTAGATATTAACGTTGGTTGTATCGAAGTTAGATTCCTTTTCACCACTACTGGTCGTACATCTCAGAATAGATATACACTGTCAACATTCTAAGGGGGCATGACGCGTCTTCCAGGAACAAAATGAACTTTACACAACAGTATTTCTGTAGCACCCTCAAAACCTTCATTTGTCAAAACTTGGCCAAGCAACTGTTTGTTAACATACATAACAATGAGTGTTTGTCTTTTCTATATAATTCTGTAGTGAAATGTTTTCACATTTTTTATTTAAACTCATAGGAATATGTGTTGTTCAAGCTTTAGGCTGCATTTGTCCAAGAATGATTACACTTTATAGTTGTTCTCTATGAGTTGTGTTGTCCATAGGTATCTTGAAGTCCCATTCTAAATGACCAATACAGTAGGATAACACTTTAAACCTCTTCAAAATATTAGATTTGTATCACATAAGGTACTATTGATTTTTTATAAATGAATTACATCGTGAGATTTGTACTTTTCTCAGTGTCTTTATATTAAGTGTTAAACGAGTGAAGACGGCCAAAGCTTATTCATGCTTATTCATTGCTATTACCTCAGCATCGAAGTGAAGAAAAGCGAACCAACACATCAAACACAGCTGGGCTTTGCTTATATTATGGGGTATAGAGCACGAGTTACTGAACAACAGTATGGAGCAGGGTGTCCAAACATTTCTCACTGAGGGCCACATGCAGAAAAACATACAAAGGGCTGGGACCCTTTATGAAAAAAGAACAGCCTTCATCACAGCTCTCCATAGGGGTTCATTCATTTTGTTACAAAAGCTCATTCCTTAAAACAGCCTTAGACTGCTTCTAAAAAGGGGAAATAGGAAGGTTATATTTCAAGCTTGTTTTGTTAATAAGTTAATGGGCTTTTTTTTATTTACTAAGATTTGTTAGAAAATGTTCTCAACTTTGATTGACTGGACCGGGACATTTACTAATATAAAGTGACCTTCTTTGAAAGCCACACCAGGATCACACATTGTCTACAGCACGTTCGCTGAGGAGTCAGCCGACTGTCTGTGGATCTGTGGATGAGTGAAGCTTTAGAGATGTCTGCTGCCTGCGGTTCAGACTGTCTGCTCACTTCTGGATGGAAGTTGAATCTGTCTGAAGATAGGCTAGAATCCAAGGTTTTGATATGTCAAAAAAGGTGTTTGTGACATTTGCACTAGGACTGGAGGTCCCTGAATCATCTCCTACACCGACCTTGAAACTCCCGCGTAAAGCAGGAGTGTCAATAACCTTTCTACTTCCTGTCCTCCTCCTGCCTGTGTCAACCCATAGAAATATTCCAAAGACCCCTATAAGAAGTGTTCTGTAGGTGGTTAAGGCATCAGCAAAAAAAGTCATTAACTGCACTTTTAAGAAAGTTTGCACTTACAAAATTGTTAACACACACCAGTGAGACATTTTATACAATTCTACCCAGGAAGAAATACACTCAAAACACTATGAGTATTCATTTCACAAAACTTCACAACGATGGATTTCATTCTAGAACACACACTTTATTTAAAGCCAGCTCATTATTAATAGGTTCACCGAGAGACAGAAAACAGCTGAGTGTGTTTTGTAGAGTGCACACAAAATGGAATTTGAACCTTTACTTGAAAATAGCTTGACTGATATAAGTGTCAGGAAGCAGAGTATAACAATGATTTATTCTTGAGATTTGAAATGAAATGTTTATATAATATAGAAAAATGTCAGATTATCTTGTAAAACGCAAGAATAAAAGTCAATCAGCCATGTATCAGGTCATAATGATGATTGATTTATTTGTTGAAAAAGCAGTGAGCCACAAAGAGAAAACAGCACTGTAAGGTTATTCAGTAAAGGTGACACTGCGTGTCTGAAACAGAAATCACTGTTGTGAACCCCCGGAGGCTCGGTGTGTGTGTGGGGGGGGGGGGGCTCAGGGATAGCTGCAGCACTTGCAGGAGTCCCAGTAGATGAGGCCGGCCTGGCAGTGGTGCAGGTACGTGTTCCCCTGGAAGCACTGGAAGTAAGTCTTCTCATTAGTGGGGTTCTCATACAGGCCATCAGGACGTCCACGGCAGAATTCTGCAATAGGGTCTCTGGTGGTGGCGGGGGCCGGGGTGGTGGTGGGCTTTGAGGGGAAACCTGCAAAATCAGAAAGAAATGTCATAAACCAGGGGTGTCAAACACTTGTGTACTTACCGTGGAAATATTTAAAGACATTGAACCACGTGCAATATAATGTCAGTCAGCAGCTTCAGTTTGGTGGAACCCTGAGGGTCATGCACTGCCCCCACTGTTGTGTATTTTGTATATATTTTATACATATATTTTATACATTCAAGACATATGAGTAACTTAAAGTGGACCTATCATGCTATATTTGAATAATATAGTGTAGGACCATACCTATATAAGGCATATTTATACTTTTTTTTTCAAAATACCAAACAGATCATGCATTTTAGCCATGCCTCATTTTGCTCAATTTGACCATTTCTAGCTCTGTTTTAGCAAGGGCTGAGTCTGTGAGAACAGCACCATCTACTGGCCTAGCATATGTACTACAGCGTCTCCAGCGCTTTCGAACGGCAATGGCCGTGGCTGTCTCCTCCTGATTGGTGGAGTTGGCCCAATAGCCGTAGCGCCACCGTCCTGACGTCAGGACAGTGTTCAAATCTGGATCAGTTTTTATCAGATCCGTTGCAGCCCCTTTTTTAGAGATTTGGGTATGGAGGAAAATAGAGAGGGTTGTGTTTTCTGACACTTGGTGAGTTCCCTGGAACACCGGGGACACACATTCATGTATAAAAGACGTACAAAAGCGCATTTTGCATGATAGGTCCCCTTTAACCTTCTGCCTAAATAGTTCCCACTTTAGTTTGTATTGTGGTGTTTCAGATGTGGAAATTAGTGTAAAATAATTTCTAGATCTTGACAGGTTGTTTGGATCATAAAGTAAATACTATAGTTCAGTTCCAGATACAGGGACTAAATGTTTTTGTACACTGTGATCTGTAAACTGTAAGGCACATGTGCAAATGATAATCTGAGGCATACAATTGTTCACATTATACTTTTTTATCCGAAGACGTTTTTTTAAATATTAAACCTTCACAGTGATGGATATGGCTTTGAGTGGGAGGAGCTCCAGTATTTACCCATTGACACCCTGAGGTGGTTGATGAGAGGGTAAGCTCCGTCTGAGCAGAAGGATCCACTGAAGTCATCCATGTCCAGAGTCCACACATGAGCCCCCCCCAGGTTTTCGGCAGTCATGTACTGGACCTACAGGACAGATACAGGTCCAGCAAACAGACAAGGAAGTAAGTGCCCAGAAAAAACTGAACCGTTGACTTTAATTAAATGTATAATGTCAACTGATTTCACAAAACTGTATTAGGTTAGTTGAAAGCAATAATATACAGTAAAATAATACAAATAATATTGGAATATAATATAATATAATTGATTTCAACTAACCTAATACAGTTCAATTCAGTACAAACCCTTCACTATATAACGCAAATCCTTCACAAGAACATTTATCATTAATTTTCCCCAATGATGTCAGAACTGCAGGACATAATGGGTAATAATGAGTTACCTTGGAAGAGAAGCTGCGTTTGTTGTCGTAGCCCAGCCAGGCACTGCCATAGGTGGCATAGGGGACCTGCTGCTCAGAGATCCACTCAACATTAGCACCGGAGGTGAAGGCACAGATCTGGTAACACATAAACATAAGGACAGAGATTACCATCTGTACTGAAAACATTTATCATTCTGATTCTATTTGTTTGTACATAAGGGACCACATTCATGTTGTTACAGTGGAGTTACATTTTTCATATAAAGAAATGGGCATGAGTGTTAGTTCCTCTTCATTTGAGGGATATACCAGTATGTATACCAACAGTAGATTACAGATATATGGAAATGAGGCTTGATTGCCTTCTATTGAGTGATATTTGACATTTCATTCATTCGTTCCTGAATGGGAAAATATTTACTTTCAGCACAAAGTCAACTAACATTAGGAGACAATCTACTTTATTGTCCACGTAAGGACATTTTCTCTGGACTCTGTCCTGGAGTTCCAACGAAGATACAAATCATACATTCTACTTAGTACACGATAAAAGACAATAAAATATTAACAAATGACTTATGTACATATACACAGCTTGCTCATACACACAGAATTTACTGTTGTCACATATTCATCCTCATCTGTGAGAAACAGCATTTTGATCTCCCTTTCTGTATCACACAAACAGAAAGGTTGACAATAAAGTTGACTTTGCCTTTGACACAACTTCTGGCAATGGTGACCTATTGTTCAACCCTCATGGCCAACATGTACAACTATACTACATTATATAGTGTTGAGCAGCTAAATGGATGAAGGCAGGAATGAGTGTTTGTTCTGCTCCTGGTGAATCTCCTGTCAGAGGTTAAAGCTGAGTTTAGGATGGGCAGTACCTCGTAGGAGGACCAGAATCCGGCGGTGCGAGTGTAGGGTCCGGCGTCTGCGGGGCCGTTGGACGGGGCCCCCAGGCCGGTGGCCCCGGTGCTCAGACGGTAGGTGCGTCCGTAGGTGGGGAAACCCAACAGCAGCTTCTCAGCCGGGGCCCCATTCACCAGCCAATGAGATATGGAAGAGTTCTAACACAAAGGACAGAGGAGATAAATACTTCAGCAGGAAACTCAACTCAAAGTATTCATATCAACGTTGGACCAGACTACTTCCTGGAATGAGAAGTGTTCCAGTATTTCTTGTCCAACAGTAAATATCCACAGTGATGATTCAGCTCCTTATTAAAGTCAAAAGTATAGCAGCTAGAAAGGCAAATGTCTTCCTCCGGATTGGGTGGAGACCAAATCAGAGCTAATCTGGGAGCGCATATTGTTCTTAGTCTAAATGTCTAAATAAATGCTCATAGTGCTCTGTCTTTAATGCTTTACATTATATCCAGGCTCATTGTCACAAGTGGAAAAGGCTTTGTGTAATCATATACAGCATATACAGCTTAAATAGTTCTTATAAGTGTGTAGAGTGCAGCTGTCTGTCTGTTGTGCGTCTGTGTGTGTTTCTTACGATGTTGTGATGAATGTGTGTGCCGGAGTCCATGGAGCTGCCGTACAGGGGGCTGTTGTGTCCGGTCGCTGCCTCCCAGTGCCCGTGGTAGTCATAGGTCATGACATTGATGAAGTCAAGGTGACTGTTGATTTAAAAATCAGAAGTAGAAGGAGTTTTACAGTTGGGGAAGGACATAGTATAAAGAGCATGAAGAGTATTTTGTTTAACAACACTGAAAAAACTGAAATATTGACTTTAAATAAATATATGATGTCAAGCAATTTCACATAACTGCAAGAAATAATATTAAGTTGAACCTAATCTTCTTTATTTTAACTTGAAATGATTGCTCTCAACTAAACTAAAACAGTTATGAGAAATCTGTTGACATAATACATTTCATTAAAGTCAATGTATCAGTTTCAGTGAATAAAGAGTCAATTATTTCTATAAACAGATAAAAGTCTGGTCTCCTGTTAAATTCTTCTCATATTTCTATGCCAAACCCCCCAGAAAGTGTTCTGCTATCCAAACAGAGCTATTGAGGATACTATACATTTCTAAACATACACTGACTCCATTGAAGTGAAACTCACGGTGCGATCTTCTGGACCTCGTAGGCTCGGTCGATGGTGGGGCGGAAGGCAGCCACGTTGGCCGTCAGCAGCAGCGGGGTCTTCCTGTTCTCCTTAGCATCGTCCTCAAAGGCCTTGGCCAGCTCCTGCAGGCAGAACCAAGAGACCCTCAGCTACGTGTGCTAGCGGTGTGTCTCTTTGATAGGGATATCAGTCGGATGCTCAGGTATCCATTCTGGTATAAAACGTCTCAAAAACGATAGAATGGGTTTGCCAGGAAATGTTGTGAAGATACTCAAGTTGTTACTTAGGTTTATGACCAGAGACATGCAAACATTCCCATTAGCTATTATCTGTGTTAATTAGTAAATGTTAGAATGCTAAAATGCTTAATTATGATGGTGAATACATTTGAACCACTTAGTGTCAGTGCTTGTTAACATCATGAACCTTAGCCTTTAGCTTAACATCCACTGTGTCCATGTAGCGCTTCACACAGCCACTACACAAGTCTTGTTATCATGTTCATTAGTTTGTAAGGAGGTTTAAAATAACTCAAAACTCAATCATATTTATAATTTACTCAAAAGAGGACATATTTTGCTCATCTTCAGGTGTATATCAGTATGTAGTGTCTCTACTATGACATGTCTCCATGCTTTAAAGGGGACCTATCATGCAAAATGCCCTTTTTGATGTCTTTTATACATAAAGATGTGTCAGGGAACTCACGCAGCGTCAGAAAATAACGGAGCTGATCCAGATTTGCGTCTGATAGGACGTAATATCGGAAATGTGGACTACAATGCCCGACTGTTTTGGATGTAATATGGTCGGTGTTTACATTAGCATCGCTAACACTCAGAGCTAACCTGTACTGGAGAGCATGTGTGTGAAGAAGCAGGAAATAAAAAGGAACTCACCTTGTGGTATAACCGGCAAGAGAGAAAGCCTTTGAGCTCCATACTGTTTCAGAAATAACCCTTGATAATCCATGATATGGCGTTTCATCACGGCAGTATTTAGTTTAGACAGTAGCTGCCGGGTCCCGCATGAGCTCAGCCCCCTCCTTTTTTTTCTTTTATCAATTCTTTTTTTTTTTTTAAAGCTTTATACCCCAAATCAGCACTTTTGAAACAGGAAGTGAAATAGAGGGATATGAGGCATGGCTAGAATGGGTGATCTGTTTGGTATTTTGAACAAAACACTTCATAGACATGTTTTTTATATATTTTTATATATCTGAGACCTATGCTATTGTCTAAAGATAGCATGATAGGTGACCTTTAATGTTAAAAAATCTCTTTATCTTTCTCATACTGCCTGTGCTGCAGCACCTCTTTTCACCCTCTGTCTGAAACCAGAGCCCAGTCTGCTCTGATTGGTTAGCTGGCCGGCTCTGTTGTGATTGGTCAACAGTTCATAGATGTTAAGCCGCTTAGCCTATCATGTACAATGTGTTGGAGCGCTAGCCAATAGATGTGCAAGTGTTACATAGTAAGGTCACTATCTTCTGGAAGTAAACAAAGGAGTCCAATGAAGGTGTTTCACGCAGGGGAGGGGGGGGGGGAAGTGTGTGGGAGACAAAACTCCCTATGGAGGGAACACAGGGATTTTAGTCTTTGCAGACCATTGACATGCACAAAAACCTGTAGAACACACTACAAGAGAGGGAAACCCCAAAAAGCAGAATAGGGCCTCTAGCATGGAGCTGTAAGCTGCATACAATTCATAATGTTCCCTCTGATGGAAGAGAATGACCTCTTAGAGTGAGACCAAAGGCCAAATGTACCACACAGTGAATAATGAACAGTATCACATGCTCACCGACACCAGCAGGGTGAACCTCTCCTTGTCCTGCTCCGGGCTGCCGTTGTGTCCCGGGTACTCCCAGGCCAGGTTCAGCCCGTCAAAGTTGTTGGTGCGCAGGTAACTGATGGCAGACTTGATGAAAGCTGCACGGCTCTCAGTCTTGGCAACCATGGCGATGAATCTGGTGGGATGTATAAAACGACACTGCAATTTACATTCTGGTGACACAGCAGCCGAGGAGGTGTCCAACCTCCTGAATATCCAGGATATTTTGGAAGAATAGGGTCATATTTGCACTTACGGACTGATTCCATTGACGGTGCCTCCCACTGACAGCAGGGTCTTCAGCGCAGCATTACTAACAGCAGAGAGAGGGCAAAGTTATATTGATGATAGAAACATGTTCTTCACAACTTGACTTGCTTCTCTATCAGATTTAATATTGCAATAAAATGTGTATTGTAGCTAGGAGTGTATTTTTGGTTATTGGTTTACAGTTCCTTTTGAACATATCACACTTACTACAACATCTCATTTGTAAACTGTTTATTCAGTCGCTTCAACGTTATACAGAACATAACGATAAGTACTGAGATCATTTCTGGACTTGCTACACATCCATTAAAAGATTTCAGCTGATCCAGGATATGGCTGGCTTTGAATGAACAGAAGAGCATTCCAGGCTGAAAACGTTCTGGTCTAAATATTGTTATAAAATGGTTTCTACCCATCCAATTGTCTGTCTTGCTTTGGCTTGAAAAAGATTATTAAATGACATTACATATCACTTGATAGATGCTTTAACCAAAGCGACTTACATACACTCCCCACAGGAGCAGTTTGGGGTGAAGTGTCTTGCCCTGAGCTAACTGCAGTGATTCAGTGCCCTCCTGATCCTCAGACCTTTCCCCCCTCACATGTCTACTCACACATTCTTGAGCCGGTTGAGGCCGGTGAACTGCTGCTCGTCGTTCCACTCGATGGGGGTGATCTGGTTGAAGCTGTTGATGGTGGACAGGGCGTAGATGACGTGCGTGCACAGGAAGGGGTCGATGTTGTCCGAGGTGAATTTGCCGCTGCTGGGCCTGTACTGGGCCCAGTTGGTCATGTGACACACCAGCCTGCTGGAGGTGACTGAGGGGAGACAGTGGGGGGGGGGGGGGGGGGGGGGAGTTGATTGCATCTGTGTTTGTTCTGAAACTTTTATCAAAGTGTGAAGAAAAGTCTCTGCCTTTACTGAACTAATGCTTACCGGTGTGCAGGACGAGCAGGACGCCCAGAGCTGCAGGAACACAGAGAAAAGGAAGAGGACACTGGTGTTAGAGCAGTGTTTCTCAAAGTGGGGGGGCGCAAGAACAGGGGGGAAAATGGTTATTTAAAAAATAAATAAATAAAAGAATCATAATTTGAAAAATTATTGATTTGAAAATAATATGATACAGTACAATTACGTCTGGGTCTCTGTGTTTCATTCAAGCTCGGCTCTGTGTGTGTGTGTGTGGAACGAGCTATTTTGTGTGTGTACGCAGAGAGCGCACCGGTACCGGAGATCGTTGTTGTTAGCTTCTGGTGCTAGCGAGCTACGCTAACGGATATAAGGAGCATTTTCAACAACAAAGTGGAGGAGAGTCCTCTCCTGTCAGACTGAGAGGCTCAGTGAGCTAAAGGACTCTCTGAGTGTTTAGATACTTAACTTTAGTCTAAGTTATCTCAGTGGGTCTCAAACGTTTTGGTCACGATTAATGTAAACAATTATTTCTGAGGCACACCTTCATATGATCATTATAGTTATAAAAAAACAAGAGAATAAATGAAAAACAGGTTTGAAATACTATATGACAGTACAAAAAGAATAAAGTTTAAAAGGGGAGTGATTTGTAAAATATCCATAAAGAAAAAGTAAATCTGCTTACAGTTCTGTTTCATATGGGTGTTGAGAGATGTATCCATAGATCTCTTCATGTTGCTCTCAAAGTGCACCAGATGGATGCTTTTAACTTCAATATTTAAAAACAAATCTTCCCGGGGGAGCATGCCCCCAGACCCCCCTAGAGGATGTTAGGTCCACACACCACCTATAAAAATAGCACTTTACCGCTGCTTACACCTATATGCCGTGAGCTGATTATCGAGCCTTCATTGTAACAGTCGCGGATATACTGTGTATGTGCGTGGGGATTGTTGCAGTAGAAAATTCCACTGTAGCGCCCGGTACATTAATGGGAAACCCTAAATGTTTGAGCACCCTCTATGAAACGTCAAGCTAGCCCACAGCACCCCCAAAAGAAATCTCTGGCGCCGCCACTAAGCCTGCAACCCCGTTTTGAAGAAATGTGCAGTGCAAAACAGGCTCATTGCAGCCACTAATGCTGTCATAAGACACACTTTTTTGCCAAATATCAGCATTTTCTTTGCAAAGTGGCAAAGTATTATAACTTATTGTTTTAGCAAAGGGATTGCACAATTGTATTATGTATTTTTTTTTTGAGCACACAGACTTATGGAGCATTGTTTTATTATCGCTGTTCTAGCAAAGTGACTTGGCCCATTACGTGACTATTTGTGTTGGGGGGGCCCGACTTTTTTTTTTCTCCAAAGAAACAGAAAAAGTTTGAGAACCACTGTGTTAGAGGCATGGGAGGTATAGAGTAAATACATCGTTTTTAATGAATGAACAAAATGGGTGCAAAACAACAACTAAAGTACCTGCAAGAAAAATGATAAATATATTCCACAGGTCATTTTGAACAACATCCGACTATTCAATGTCTTTGTTACTGAGAGTGCAAATCTAAAATCCTATTGTGTTATGTGAACCATTTAATTGTAATTCTTAAAATCATATTTTTGCAAGATTTTAACTTTGAATATTGCTTAAATAAATACTACAATAATTGCATATTAAAAACCGAGAGCACGAACAAATTCATAAAACAGATACATTAATTGATGATGGTAGAATATAAAGAAATAACTATCAAATTAGATTTGTGTTGCTTAATGTTCAAAATGTTTTGTGTAGTATTTACATGTTTTAATTGTTTACTAAGTTGAATGTGCATTCTTCCCCCATGCCTCAGGTCAGTGAATGTGATCGTGAATGATTGATATCTCTTCAGGTGATTTACATAATGTAAACTATATGTTTCTTAGAGTTATTGCCATCTTGGTATTCTGTACTGTATGTGAGTGTCAGTGCGACATAACTGGTATTTCACATAAGAAATGAAAGAAGTGGATGGTGTTTACCTGTGAGGAGTCTCATTTTGATCCAGTCTGTGTTCTTCTGCTGCAGCGAACCTGTGAGGATCATACAACTTTAAGATGATGATCAAATACAAATACCATGCAGCCCCTGCTAGAAACAATAAGTATGTTAACTCATGGCAACTTTACAGACATTTCAACATCTATCTATTGTATGCTAAACATTCTATTTGATATTTCATAAAATCCTGCTTGCAGCTAATAATAATTGCAGTAACACTTTATAGAAAATCGCATATTTTTTATTTGCATATTAGGCAGCTGATAGAGTCGTTACCTTTCGTCGAGAGAAACCGAAGCAGAGTCGACAGCTCGGTGGACTCAGGTCAGATATTTATAATTTACTCATTAATAACTAATAGCTGCATGGTAGCAAAGTGCAGCTGATAAGGCACAGGTTGTCTCATATACATAATACCCCCACCTCCAGGTAGGACATGTAAGAAAGAGACCTGCTGGGAAATGAGCTATCAGTACATTCCTTCATCTCAGCTACAGGGGTGAAAGGTGCAATCAGTGTACATTTACAAGAATACGTTAAAGGAAATAATCATCACTAATAACTGAATGGTTCATGTAAATGAATCTGGAACAGGAAGTGGATCTTGCACCTTCCTGCTGGGATCGGGTCTGTTTCCTGAGATGAATGCAAGTCCTGGGTCAGAACAGTCTCTTGTCAGACGGGTTGTCTGTTATCAGTGTTCTGTTTTTGGAATAGAAGAGATCCAGGATGTATTCAACCTGTTTAGCCCTGAGCCTGTTTTTCAGGTCTCAGGCTCAAAAATGACATTCCCAGAACAAATGACCATATCTTCCCTTCTAAAAGGGGTAAATTAATAATCCTTTTTCTCAAAGCAAAGTTACATCTGTGAGTTGGATGTAGAAGTGTCAGAATCAATATAGATGTTTTTATTTTAGAGTAAATTCAGATTGAACATAGTAAAAAACTGTAAATTATAGTGTCCGTCCAAAAAAAGAAACATTACTTATTGTGAAAACCACCCTTGGATGATGGGTTAGTAGACTAAAAGCTTTAGGAATCCAAAGTATAACATATAATAAGTACCCTGTATCAAGATTGATGCAAAACAAGTGACATTTGACCTTTTTAGAGAGATTTAGAAAAAAAAAACACTTCTGGGGTCATTTGGGTGCATTTTCCATATTTCTGGCCCCCCTCGTTCGATTTTGATGATTGACATCTCTTTTTGACCGTTAGAGCCAATAGAATCGAGGGGAAGTTCCTCAAATCCATCTAAACATTACCCATTGGTGAATGAGTGCTGCGCAGCCAGACTGCCCTGGAACCGGAAGCTGCGATACACTCTGGTGGCTACCATTAGCAGCTAATTTAAAATCTCCGATTTGTACATAAAAATGGAATTATGGATTATCAATAATTTTTTCAAAGTGACGGACACATTGGATTAACCTATGGATTAACCCTCAGCAGCGTTTTTATCGTTTGAATGCCATTGAACACGACTTTTGATCAGAACAACAGCTAAAGTGAGACGATCTCCCGTGTTTGCTCCGTAATGCTACGTGTTGTGATGTCTGTGTTTGCTTCCCCTGTCGTGAGTTCTGATCGCTCAGTGATAATACTAATACCTATAGAATCTGTGGAATCTCAGCTTTAATCGGATATCTTGTATGTGCAGTTACGATAAGTAATAAGGGTATTTTTACCTTGAGTTCTGTGATAAGTGCGTTTCTTTCCCCGCTCAGGGGTCATTTAGACGCTTCTTATGAGACTTGTGTTTTGTTTTGGTAAAAATGGTTCATACTGTCAGTTAGCTAAGATTCTTCCCGTTAATCTGGTATGACACATTAATAGGTTTTTAAATATTAAGAAGCCCTGAGACACAGTTTCGTGAAGAAAAAAACCCCGCAGCCCCCTCTACCGGGGGCTCTCGGGCTAAACAGGTATACCAGACTGTAAGCAGAGGGGAACTTCCACCACATTGTCTGCCATCTCCAAAGCTGTGTCATATTTATTCTGCATTGCATCTTTTGAGCTATCAAAGCAATCACCATCCCAGACTGAGTGCTCTGGGTTTGGTTCAGTGTGGGGACAGGGTTTCTGGGATAGAGTGCAATCGATGAGGCTTTGGGGAATATCAATTAGCTTTAGTGTAACTTATTCAAAACACACACACACACACACACACACACACACACACACACACACACACACACACACACACATAATGTATTCAGAGCGGATCGTAAGGGCAGAGCTGGTGGTGTTGCCATATACACTGCTGAGAAACTACAGTGCTCTGTCCTTCACTCAATTTCAATTCCAAGGCAATTTGAGTTGCTAGCAGTCCAAATAACTATAGCAAATGCTCCTCTCACTGTTATTGGCTGTTATAGGCCTCCATCGGCCATCATGGATGCAACTACTAGCCTTACTGAATTGTTGTCTAAGTTTTCTTCTGAAATCATATTATTGGGTGATTTAAATTGGGACTGGTTGAGTGATAAATCTTCACAGTTTAAGCAGGTTTGTGATTCTTTGAACTTAACTCAGTTTATTGATAGTCCCACTAGAATAAACCCTCCCAAACCCAATAACGATACCCTTATAGATGTCCTTCTAACAAATGCAGCTCATAAGTATGTGTCTGTTGGTGTTTTTCCTAATGATATCAGTGACCATTGCACTATCGCTTGCGTTAGGAGCACTAAGTTGCCCAAAGCCAAGGGCCTTATTGTGCTCAGGCGCTGCTTCAAACACTTCTCTGAGCAGGCTTTCCTACACGATCTGGCGGAGGTTAAATGGCACTTCACAGCGTTAATTCCATCTGTTGATGTTGCCGTCCAATTTTTTATTGATCACTTTTTATTGATTATTAATAGACATGTCCCCTTTAGAAAATTCAGAGTTAAGAATAGGAACACTCCATGGTTTACTAGAGAACTATCTGATCTCATTCATGATCGAAATAAGCAATGGTCCTTGGCTAGAAAGTCTAACACTAGTGATGACTGGCTTCTTTTTCGTGTCCTCAGAAATAAATGTTCAGCCCTTATTAAAAAAGCTAAAGCTGATTACTATCTGAGCTTAACCACTGATTGTTTTAATGACCATTCTAAATTCTGGAAAACAATTAAATCACTTCAGAACAAGAAGGTTTCTAGTTTCCCACAAAAACTGAAGGTCAGTGATTCTTTTATTTCAGATTCAGATGGTATGTCTAATGCCTTTAATGCTCACTTCAAAAAGGCTGGTCACATTTTTGATGAGCAAAGTCATGACTCTCTAAATGGTCGTACTCACAGCCACAGTCAAGAGATGAACTCCCCTGTTTTTGATTTCGCTTATTTCTCGGTCTCTGAAGTCTTACAGGGTTTGCACTCAATTGATCCTAAAAAGTCTGCCGGGCCTGAATTAAAAATTGCAGCTCAGATGATAGCACAACCAGTAACTGATATTTGTAATCTCTCCCTGTCCACTCACACACTGCCAGCTGTGTGGAAGCAAGCTCTGGTATCGCCCCTCTTGAAAGCTGGTGATCCCACTGAGTTGAATAACTATCGTCCTATCTCAAATCTTTCTGTGTTATCAAAGATTCTTGAGTCCCTAGTTTCTACTCAGCTAAAACATTTTTTGCAGTCTGAAAGTCTTAGACGATATTAAGGCTGCTTTGGATAAGAAATCAGTTTGTGTTGCATTGTTTATTAACCTAGCCAAAGCATTTGACACTGTAGATCACCACATTATGTCTAATGTTATGTTGGTGTCTCGTTTCGGTCACAATGCCATTTGCTGGTTTCAGAGTTATCTAACCGACCGTACTCAATGCGTCAGGTTGGGTAGTACTGTCTCTGACCCTGTCACCTTGGAGAAGGGAGTTCCACAGGGCTCTATTTTGGGACCCTTGCTCTTTTTATTATATGTAAACAATATTTGTAATCAGATGCAATTTTCTACCTATCATATGTATGCTGATGACACTATTGTATACTCGTGTGCTCCTTCTCTGGATATGGCCGTTTCCAATTTAAAATCAGATTTTATCACGCTGCAGCATGCACTTCTTGATTCCAAACTGCTATTGAACAGTAAGAAAACCAAAGCAATGCTTTTTGCTCCCAAGTCAGCGTCCTCCTCTTGCCTCTCCATTGACACCCTTGATGGCGTTTCTGTTGAGTTTGTTGATACCTACAAATATCTGGGCTTTTGGTTGGACAGTAATCTGAACTTCAAACACCATATTGAAGTTTTAACAAAGAAATTGAAATTCACTCTTGGCTTCCTTTTCAGACTTAAATGTTGTTTTTCAACTTCTTCCCGTAAAAGGTTGGTCTCTGGCTTATTCCTGTCCCAGCTGGACTACGGTGATACCATTTATAGATTTGCCTGTCCCACAGTTTTGGCCAAACTTGACCCACTCTACCATGCTGCACTGCGTTATATATCAAATGCACCCTATAGGACTCATCATTGCACACTGTATAGCCTAACTGGATGGTCCTCACTTAGTATGCGTAGGATGCAGCACTGGTTTTTATTAATGTATAAAGCCATTTTAGGTAAGCTTCCACTCCACATATGTGCCAGATTTGCCCCAGTTTGTGACTCTTACAACCTCAGATCCAGTGCCTGGATACGGTTCCAGGTACCTGCTGTGCGGACTGAGGCTGGAAAAAGGAGTCTTTCTTATTATGGTCCTTGGTCTTGGAATGACCTTCAATCAAGCCTAAAACTGAGGGCATTTGTCTCAATAGCATGCTTTAAATTGAAGTTGTCTGAGGTCCTCACCACCAGCTGCTCTTGCAGTAATAAGTATGCTTTTATCTGGTTAAATAAAGGTTAAATAAATAAAATAAAAAACACACACACACACACACCATTTTAAACAATAAGGTGTTCAGTCTTTGCAAAGGAAACCTCCCGTGTTGGGCCTTCAGACTGCCATTTGAAATGGACTGTAATCCACAGCCAACAATAGATGTGAGTATTAATGAGTCAGTTGTATAATACATTCTGTATAATTTAACTTAATTGAATTTAAGCCCCATCAAATATGTATTTTCATTTGACCTTCAGCTGTAAATATTGACTCCTCTCGAAGTTTTTTATAAATCTGTGTTATTGAACACATTTTTCTTTCCCAAGATAATATTCAACTGGTGTGACTTGAGTGGGTCACTAACATGTAAATAGTTATTTGTTACTCGTTGTTGTTGTTGTTCTGTGGTCTGGGCCTCCTTAAGAGGTGCCTTCAGGCTTACCGGTTACATACCGTAACACAACTGTGAACGTAGTAAATACACAAGTTACTGAAGTACAATCCCAAGGTGTTTATTTGAAATCTTATTTACAAGTATCCCCCCTCCCTCACATTTTCTTTCAATCACAATTGTGAAAAGGCCCAAAGGCAACAATATCCAGTGCACTCAGCCACCGACAGTGAGTGAGAGACCCTCCGTCCA